CGTCCGCACTTCGCTCGTTAAACACACGGAACGTAACGAACTACCAATTACCGATTTTCTCCCGATGCACCGACGTTTTGCGACACCGTCCGTGAACAGTGGCGTTTCATTCCTGGCCCGGTAGGCATTCCTCTGCGCCAGGCAGAAATGAAAATTGCATTTCCTTTTCGGCCGTAGCCGCTTTAACAACCGGTGTGAAAGTTCGCCGCTGAGGTAACATCCACTCGGGGCACGAGGGAACTTACGACCCGAGGTGTGGTTTCAAACACGGATGATCTGTTTCTCAACCGTGGAATGGTTTCTCTCGAACAGCCACTTTGTGTCCAGACAATAACCGCGGATTCCTTTCGCACCGTGAGAGAAGAGCGAGGAGAATAGGGACAGAAGGTTTGCGAGTGGCGTGATTTTTACATCTGCAAGTTTTAACGCACAATAAATGACCGGTAGATGAAGGAATTAAATAAGAACAACATTTTAAAACTCTTTGGGGCATGCTGGGATTAAAAGGAATTAAATGCTGAGACATCCAACCTTTTAGATGCACAGTAATGCATGGTAGGACATTTTTAGTCCTCCTCGAAATATCGCAATAGCTGCATGCACATAGATTTATATTTCGTCTTATTTACGCAGTTGGTAATACCTTCGACAAATGTTATAAATGTATTCGCTCGTGTTGGCAACATTCAACATGCCAGCACAGGTTCATCAATTGTTGCAAGCGACAAGGTTTATTGCGATATTACAATCCTTTTTTCCTGGTTTTATGTTTTTACATTATGTGATTCCTTTGTTAGTAAAAATATACCAATTTTGTTTCATTTAAAAGGCAATAAAATTTCTGTGCAACATGGATCTATTTTATTACCTGAAATTCTGTGCATAGCAAAGAGTTAAAAATTGGAACACAAGGAAATGTTGAAAAATTAGTTATACCTGAGGTGTACCTGATTCCAAGAGAAGTGACCAAAATGATACTGATGAATGCGAAGTTTTTGATTAAAAATTTAAAAATCACTATTTGAACCCTGGTAGGTTTAGTGTTAGGTGTTAGGCGGTGTTTAATGCATTTGAACGCGTTTAAGCTGCCTTTAATTTTTGTAACACCTAGTAGGATATATAATATACAGTGAAAATAAGCTTCCTAAATTTTTGATAATTTTTTAATTAATATTGCAATTCTTTTGTTTAATTTATTCATATGTATGGTTAGTGATTATTGGATATACTTCTAAGGTGTGTACAATCTTCATAATTTACCAACTGGGATGTAGATATGGCCTGGACATCATGTTCTTATTATAATTTTGAAGATCAATTTTTAAATACATATTCCAGACTGATAAGAATCTGTTATTTAATTTAGATACATGTTTAGTGATAATTAGGGCAAATAATAGCCTTAGGTTCCATTATATTGTGGTGTCATGAAGAACCAGCTTCTGAAAACATACCTTTGATGATTTCTAATTTTGAAGAATAAAAAGAGGTTAATTAAGGCATTAATTATTGGTCAGATCTTAACTGTCTTATTCATAGTTTCTTGGAGCACCTTCGCTTTTTCTCTAATGCATATTCATAACCTGTGTTTCTTGTGTATGTATAAGTTAAGTGGCGTCTCTAGTGGTAATCAGCGTAATTATACACATTCATCGAACGAAATTCAACTAGTTACTAGAACTAGTAACTTGAAACGTTTGCTAGTGAATTCTACAATACTAACATCGATTTTGTTCAGACCAGCCTTTCGTTTTTACGGTATCCAGTCTTCCATTTTATCAAGATGTTCGCGTATCGCGTTTGTCCAGTGAGAAAACGTTTCATAACCACGACAGATCCCGTTTGTTCTGACTGAACTCGACGAAGGTAAAAGATTTTAGAGCGATAGTGGTTACTGGTCACAATATTTCGTGAAATAAGTCCTTATGTAGCACTGTTCGCCATTTGCAATGTAAATACGTGTCAGTAATAGAGGTTATGTTTGCAGTGACATATAATTCGAGTTCTTTGCGTGAAATATTTAATGTTGAAATGTCCACTCTTTAATACTAGCACATAATTTATTAATTACTCGTTATAACGATACTCAATAATTATAATTATTAAGTAATATTGCTAATAAATAATACTAGACTAGAACACTGAAGAAGAAATTTTATTTAAGTTAGTATACTGGTATACTGGCAGCCATATTGGTACCATGTGATTTTAATACTTAATGGCGTTTGCCTTCTGAAAAATATTTTATTTTTATATTATATATTTAATATTTTCTGTGTACTGTTTCTCTATTAGATAAATTCTGATTTTGAACAAAATATTATTTCTCCAGGATATTTTATAAGAGAAAATATAATTCTTATTGTACTGAAGAAATGAAACAGCTTCCATACTAATACAAAATAAATCCAGGATATAGTTACTATCCTGAATTCTCTAATTTAGAGAAAATATTTGTGATGATATTTCAACTACTCTTTACATTTACAAATAATACTGTAAACCACGCTAATGATACAAATTACCTCATTACAGAAAAAAAGCCTTGCGATCAAGTATTATCTGATATCCAATTTCTTCTAGAAATATCTGGTCAAAGGAACAGAATAATTCATTTCAATCCCATTTTGCCTTGTTTCACATTTTTTCTTTTTTCCTATTTTTCCAATAGAAATTGCCAGGCAATCTCGTACTTTTCAACCTACTTTCTACCATTAGAAAACACGGTCATCGTTCGAAGATAAAACTCCTTGTGAATAATTACACGATATTTGCCTTGGACAAGATTAAGATCGTTTATCGTTGAAACGTTTACGAACAACGTTGCATATCGTACAGATCTATAGCAAAGAAGCATTGCAAATTATCGCCTGTTTAACGAGAAGCCACGGTTGAGGGCACTGCGCAAAAATCATAGCTGGAAAAAATTGATGGCTCGCGCCAAATCAACTTCGGTGGAAAATAGAGGGAGCGATTTTACGATTAATTTCACCGAGCTGGATGAAAGTTTAGAGCTTCTAAGAAGCGTGCAAACCTCACTTCGACGCAGCTTGATAAAATCTTCTGGTACCTCTGACCCTTGCTCCCGGTACACGGTAGTTTGACATGGAACATATAATCTTGCCACAGAAAATAGCAAATTTTAATCACGTTCCATATTTTCTGTACATTACAAATCTTCCTTTCTTATCTCAAACGAAATTCTTCAACAGCTTGAATAACCACAGACTCTTTAACATTCAGCTGAGTATTGTACTTTTATTCAACTTTCTAAGTAGGTTTCTAAGCACAACTAGAAGTTTTCAAGTGCATTGCAATTTTTGAGTACAGGTATTCTTCTGAAAATAGAAAATTGAATTATTTTTCAGTATAATGAAGATAAAAAATTGAACACTAAAATATTTAGAGGTTTCTAAATGTATCATGATGTTTAATCATGAGTGTACTCACCTGAAAATAGGAAAATTAATTATTTTTATGATCATGAGGGTAGGAAATTGAACATTTATAAATACTTATAGATTTCCAAGTATAAATATTGCTATAAAATTAAAGTGCAAAGATTACTTTATAAGACAGGAAATTAGACCATGAAGCAGCGTTTACTTTACCTCAACGATCTACTTAAAAGTAAATTCGAGTAACAATGCTGCATCATCCCGTGAAACCTAAACTCTTCTCGCGTTGGAAAAACAATCGAGGATGTTCGACAACTCTTCCCATGATAATTTAGTACACACAGGGATGTTGTAACCACCCACTTCCCACCTGCTTATTAACCTTTTGTACGCAGTTATTCGTCACGCGTAATATCGTAATAAGAATTAGAAAGGAGAGGATTTTTCGAGAACGATAGCTCCGAAAATTCCGAGATTTCATGAATGAAATCGTTTCATTTCGTTCGAATAACTTTCACCAACGATGATTTACGGATATTTATATCATCGAATGGTGATCGTCCGAAGGATCGTCTCATTCTGCTCGTGGGAAATTCGAAACACCGTGATGTGGTTTGGCAAGAATCCGAAACGAGTTTCGACTGTCCTACTCTAGTTTTCTACGTACAACACCTGTCATTTCCTTATAATGGGATTAATCAGACAAATAAGACGTTAAGGCAAACCTGTGAAGAGTAATGGACGTTCTATCACTATTCGAGCAGTGATACTTCCATCGTTCCACTTATCCGAGTAATTTGCACTCGTTTCGCATAGATAGCTTATCTAGGTAATTTTGTATTTTTATTGTCTACCAAAGAGCAGGCAATTCGCATGGAAATACCAATCCATCAAGATACCAGAGTTAAGAGTCTGTCATTATTCATGGTAATACAGCTATTAAACTCACAACGAATGCTCAACCTCATTACCATTTACTACCGACTTCGTTTTCATTTCATTCCTCGCACACGTTGATTGGTATCATCGCATAACTCGGAGTTGACGACAGCAAAAAGAATCATCGGCAAGAAATTAATAGAGTGAAAAAGCGACTTAAAGGCCTGTTAACGTCTCATTGTTTTGCTCAAGGCGTGTAATATATGCGGTGAACCCTCAGACGTTTATGGAGTATCCTTCCATAATTATGTAAAAACGTAGTCACGTCTCATCTTCTTCAGGAGACGAAAGTTCTGTTGAAGTTCGGCATTTCTAAAAAGAGAAAATCATTGTGAAACGGCTGGTTGGCCTGGCAGAATTTATGCACGCACGTTGCATAAATTTACGAAGTGATCTTCGATCAATTAATAAAAGCTGGAATAAATTTACGCTTCTATCACGTTCGTATATGTACGCATGGGGAGTGACTTTCTGTTCTTTTCCACTTGTGACTCGTTATAGCGTGATGTAACCTGAATGAAATAATTTCTGGATAAATTATACGACGATCTTACTCCTTTCCTGATTAATTTTAACTTTGAAATCTGAAAAGAATATTTTACATTTAAAATATTTTTTGGTTAAAAGATTAATTTCAATAATGCAACTTAAGTTATTGAAAGTATGATCTCGGTAAAATTAAATTTCCTATTCTGCAGTGTTGTCGATGAGGGATTTATAAACTTACGAATGTACAAAATTACAGGTAACACTAGTGCTTCTATTGGCGACTGTGTCAATCACCCTGGCGAGATCTCAAGCGCTGGAGATCTCCGACAAGGGTTTGGACATGACCCAGCCACCGATCAAATTGGACAAAAATCTTCGCCGAGCTCTTCTGAAAGCCCTGACGGACTTGGAAGCCGAATCTGCGGAGCAACACAAAGAGGACACGGTTAATATCGCTCAAAGGGACACCAGCGCCTTCGAGGGTGTCGCGAAGAAGAACCTAAACGATAAACTCGACGTGCAGAAGACCACGTTCTCGTTCAAGAGTTTTCCAGGTGACGATGATCTACCAAGCGAAGACAAATTGCAGAATTCCAGTTTTGTCGATGCTGTCCGTTACGTAACTCTGAAGACTCCTGGGATGAACATCGAGAAAGCCACGCAGGAAGATGCCAGAAGCTTTCACGTGCAGAACGTGATTCTGCCCGGGAAAAATCCGGTGACCTTCGGAGCGAAAACTGAGATCAAAGTGGAACAAAGAGAAAAAACAACTCAGGCTTCTGTAAACACGTTTCCCAAGGTGGAGAGTGTGACACTGAGGCCAGTCATGGAGGTCTCCGAGAGTCTCGCCGGAAGTGCTACCAATGGGATCGCCTCTGCTAACGCGCTGATCGCGCCAAAGCCCACTGAAATCTCCCCAACAGCTCCGGCTGAAAATAACGTAACGATAATTGATTCTAACGATTCTAAAGATAAAACAGAAGAGGTTAAAATATTCGAGGCGCCACTGGTTGCAGCGTTTACTGTTCAACAGGACGAGCAAGGTGTGCCCAAAAGCGTGGTTCCCATCTTCAGGTCGCCCAACGATGGTCAAGCATTGACTCTCCAAGAGCAGCTGGAATTTAAGCAGCAGCTTCTGGAAAAGCAGTTGGCGGAGCTCCAACATCAGCAGATCCAGCAGACTCAGTTCCTGGTGAGACAGCAGCAGCTGTATGAACAACAGCTGAGGCAGAAGCAACAGCATCAGTACTACCTCCAAGAGCAGGCCAGGATCAAACAGTTAGAGGAGCAGGCGAAACTCAAGCGCCTGGAAGAACAGAGGATTAAACAATTGGAGGAACAACGTTTCAAATTTGAAGAACAGAGACTGAATCGATTCCAACAGCAACACCCTGTACCTCAAAAACAATTCTTTTTCGAACAGAGTAATAACCTCTTGACTTTCCAGCCGCCTGTTGACACCAACGTTCATCTGCAACCTAGCGTTGCTCTAGAAGTACCAAGCGTCGCTGCGCCTCAGACTTTCCACTCAAGCTTCCAACAAGAGCAACTGCGTATACAACCATTCCGCCAACAACAGCAGCAGCAGCCGCAACATCATCATCAACAGCAGCAACAACAACAGCATCAACCATTACCTCAGATACAGCAGTCACAACAGCTGCACCAGCCGCAACAGCAACACCAACAGAGGCAACAACAGAGTTTCAGCTCCTTCTCGACCGACTTCCAGCCATCGTTGGGATCCACGACGAGATTTAATCGGCAAGAGGCCTTCAACGCGGTTGGCAATTTTGGGTTCAACGTGGACAACAAGGTTACACCTACCAGAGGAAATTTTGGCTTCAACGTGCCTCAGAGGACTCCGGCGAACTTCTACAACCCCTTCACGCAGTTCAAGCAGGCAAAACCTCCCACGCCGGCAAGGCAAATCCAACACCTCCTGTATCAGTCTGGAATAGCTGGTGACCTGAATAACGTGCCAGGCATAGGCAATCACGAGGATCTGAATATCGTTTCCAAAGTTTTGGCTCTGAACGTGGGTGCCGTACCCAATAAAAACCTGCAGTTCGCGACGAATCCGGCTGCCACGAAGACGTCCGCGTGAAGAAACGAAGCGGAGGCTGGAGACTTAGACGAGTCATGTAAATCGCTGCAGGACGATATTAGTAAGGTGAAATCGAGCTCTCACTTTTTCCCTTCTTGGTCCTCTTTAACCGCCTTCCTCGTTTCGAATCCGGCGCATCTCCTACGAATGTTTCTCTGGGGAGTGATGGAGAGATGATATTAATTCGATGTGTTCATCCTCGTGCAAATAGATGGATATTGAAGGTCCTATATTGGTTTGAATAGGGTCATTGTTATGATTAGATGCAGATGGACATGTATATATTTAAAAAAAGCATTGTAATAATGTAGAATAGAAGTTTGTTTTTTGTTCGAGGTTTTTAGCTGCGCATTGTCTATTTTTCAATAACATTACTCTTTTTATTTTTTAATTTATGAAATTGATCCGTTGTTTATCAGCGCCATCTACGAATAAAATTGAGAAAAGAATGATGTTCAAATATAGTTTTGCAAATGGATTATTTAAATGTTATAACAATAATGCACAGCAATAATTACCTTTTTCGTTAAATAGAATGGTTATACGAGTATTACTTTCGATAAGAAGCAGATCAAGGAAGGTCAATTAGCTTTAACTTATACCGCTTGACGGAAAGTATCTAAAATACTATATTCTTTATATATGTTAATGTTGCACATGCTTTATATCCATATTTTAACATAGTTCGAGTACATGAACATCTGCAGTCTAGTTATAATATTACAGAAAGTAATATATTCTATAGCATGACTGTATAAACTTCCAAAAAGAAAAGTTCTTTCTCTCCATTTATCATTGCCATTAACTTAACCAAATCTGCATGTTGCTTAAATGTCTTTGCAACTTCCACTAAATTCGCGAATGCCCTTTCACTTTGTTCTTCACCTAAATTACACATTTAATCAAAACATAACCTATCACCTGGAATCAAGGGATAAATAGACCACAAAGAAACTTTCCCAACGCATTGTGCGCACATTAACCTTAGAAATCAAGCGTAACTCTATCAACCTGTGTCTCATTTGCAATGACTAGAAAATTTCAATATCGAGCCTTTCCGTTTCAAAATTCCAACGATTAATTGTACGAATTTCTTCTACTATTTACACCTATTCACCATCTAAACAAATAAGATTAATTGTTAATAGATCGCAATTAGCGATTCAATTATCGATATCGATTCACGTAATATCGAAAATCTGAAAGGCTGCCAATTGTTCGCGCCAAGATTCGGTCAATAGGATGCATTGGGTGTATTGTAATCAACGAGTCTAGGCGCAATCTCTGGCAGTTCTCGGGTGAAATCGAATCGAAACGTTCACATAACCAGTAGCGCCGCGATCGTGTTTCAACGTGCGTGGGATCGAAATGATTCCCGAAGAAAAACGCGGCTTTCCACCTCGTCCTCGTAATAAGGAAGTCCTTAACAGGTCTTAATGATATTAATTAGAAACGGGAATATTTTGTGTCTAAGATTCACCACCGGTTGCACTAGACGACTTTAGGTTATGTAACACGCGTTCGTATTGCAACACGCAGATTCTGTATATAATCGCACAATCCTTGTTTCCTATCTTCGATTTCGCTATCTTTCTCTTCCATCTCTGTTCTTTTCTCTGTCTTTTTTCCGTGTTTCTCTCTCCCTCATTCGTCTTCTGTTATTGTACTATCAAGTTTCGCCACGATGTCCGTGAAACGTGCTCAATCGTAGAAAATCCGAGCACCGTGAAATCCTCTATGTGCGGTGGTTCGTGTCGATTCTCAAGCGATGGAAAACTGACCAGTGTGGAGATACTGTAAAGGGATTTAACGGTGTTCATAACTGGTAATAATTAAAGTTAATGTAAGACGTGCAAAGAAAAAGAGGATGGCGAATAACTTGCAGAGTACCATCTACGGTGTTTGTTATTTAAGTGTGGTGTCTGTGTGGTGGAAAATAAATGGCCAGTACTGAAATAATATTCTTTTTTCCGTTAAAAGTCATGAAAGATAAATTATACATTTTATCAGCATAAATAATTATTTTAAATTTTTCTACCTTACATTATAAAAACGCTGTAATTTTGCTGTTATTTAAAGTCAGAATATTTAAATCCAAAAAATGGTAATTGGCGATTTGTTTTCCACCAATCGCACTTAATTTATCGACTTTCCACCTAAAAGGACAGCTGATAATGAAGAAATCTATAATCACTCTGCACAACAGCCAAAGCCAAAATTTTCGTGCAATTAAATTTCTGAAGGAACATCGCGTTAAAATCTTCTGTTTTTAACAACAGTAAGGAAAAGATGTTTCTGCAACGACGAACAACAATACTGCATACAACAGATGGCATAATTTGTGTCCCGAGTAGGGCCTCACTGGTGACCAATTAGTTATCTAGATGTGTTAGGTGTACGTAACCTGTTCTGAATGTAATGAGACTGCTTGCTTTGTAACTCAGATTTGTAGCTTTCATAAAAATGAATTTCTACGATCTTTGAAGTTTATTAAAGCATTTAGGTTATATATATATATATATATATATATATATATATCTTAATCAGTCTAATCGATACACTGTAATTATGAAATAAATAATATTTTGGGTGAGTCTATCGTGTAATTAACTTCATAGCACATTTCCACGTTGTATTATTCATTAACAAATTTTTAACTGCGATAAAAGTACTGTCTCGTTATTTTTGGAATAGGTCACGTATACAGTATATCCAGTTTATACGTATATGAGTTATCATATCTCTATTACATTTTTTTTTAATTGTTATTTACAAAAAGTTCAAATTTTATTAAGATATTATTATATTTCCCTCTTTTTAAAACGAAACTGTATCTACTATTAGCCAATAATTTAGAATCACTTATTCATCGTATTTGTACTAAATAATATAAATTTTTTTTGTATATTTTTATTATTATCAAAATACGTTCAATAATCTGTTTAATGTATGTGTCTGAACAAAAATTACTATTACTGTTCTATCGGTTACGACCTTTCGTATTTTTAAAGGTTACGGGAACAATAGCGCGTACACAGTTAAGCTGGATATACTGTAGAAGGCGCTAGTTGCGGGACATCGCATCGTGTGGAATTTAACTCTTCTGAGATCAAGAGTCTCGCAAAATCGTGCATCCGGCCGCGTTTCAGGATTGAAAATACCTCGCTGACTGTAAATAAACTTTCGCCACGAGAGACGCCTCACAATGCCACCACCGGGGAAGAGTCCCAGTACGAGTGTGTGTACGTGTATGTCCTCAATTTCACAAACGTTTGGCATAGATTCGTGATTTCTCTCCAGTCTACGGATCGATGGATCTCGCGGAGATCAATGCAAATCGATATTCAGAGAATGATGAATTAATTGGCTTTTCAAATTCTTGGATGCGTTAAATTAATCATGTTTTATGACACAGAATTATTCCAATGCAGGATTCCGGTTATAATGACATACTAATAAAATTATCTTACGAAACGTTGGAATACTTTTTCCAAAACAACACGACTTACACTCGGAAGCCTCAATTTTAATAATTACACGATACTTTAAGTCTTGTAATCGAGGTCTTATAATTCTTGAAAGTTATTAAATTGCTATGCTACTTTTGTTACTACTACATCAAGTATAGTACTCGTCTGATAATTTTAGTGAAAACATAGTAAGAAAAAATTGGCACTATCAGAAAAAAATGTTGATATTGCAAAAAATTTGATTTCAAATTTTGCCGCTACAATTCTGTAATCTAACCTATGACATTGAAGTTCCATGATATTTAATTATTATGAGTTAAATTAATTCAGTGACTGTAATAAAAGTAAAATTCATTATTTGTCCTATAATTAAGAATAATGCTATAAATATGAACTATATTTTTACATAAAAGTAATCTTTTCTTTTTAATTTATATATTGAAAGTTTTGAAAATTATTGTAAGCAAAGAAAATCAAACGAAACGTGTGTGGGATGTACTTTATGCGAGAGAAATAAGAAGATGTTTAAATACTGTAAAAATACAAGTGTGTAAGTCGTTTTAAAATATATGTTAGGATTTAAACTTATGTTACAAATTAATATAACATTAGGGTATGTAGGTAATATTAGACGTAATCGACAAGTTTTGCTTGTAATTTATCTGACGCCAAACTATTAAAAACTTTTGTAAAAATGTTAATAAACTAATTCGTTTAAAAAAAATTGATATTCATTTTCTTTTATAGATATTTAATTAACTATTCAAGGGTAATGTCTCTTCTAATAGTATTATTTCTTTTACAATAATGATTTTTATAGTTTTTAATTAAATCAATTATATCTATGTCATGTATATCATTCACTTTGGAATGAATCAGATAATTTAAAAGGATAATATTCGAATTTATATTTATTACCAACCATAATAAGCACTACGCCATCTAGGATAAACTGCAACAAAACAAATATGGCTGAAGACAAAATAGGGTCGTTGGAGGAAGAAGCATTTAAGAGAAAAGAACGCTTACAAGCGCTAAAAAGAAAGACTGAAGATAACAAAGAAAACAAGAATGAAAGTAGTAGTAAATTACCAAAGTAAGTTGCATTTTTTTTTAGATGTCTGTAAATCTAACCTTAACTAACCTGTAAATACTAATATTCATTTTTGTGTATGTTTACATGTGACAGGCCAAAATTTCGGAGTTATAAACCACAAGATGAAAGTCTTAAGGATAAAGTATTAGATGATGCAAAACCAGGAAATGTAGAAGAGGAAGTACAGGATCAATTAAGTGCTGCAAATACAAAAGTTGTTATCGAGGAACTTGTAAGTAATTACTTAGAATCAGTTAAAGTATCTATTGTTATTTGGCATTTATTTAATTGTAATCTTATAGGATATTAGCAATCTTGCTCCTAGAAAGCCTGATTGGGATTTAAAGCGTGATGTTGCTAAGAAATTGGAAAAACTAGAAAGGAGAACTCAGAAAGCAATAGCTGAACTTATAAGAGATCGTCTTAAACAAGGGCAGCATGATTTGGCTGCAGTAGTGAATATGGCAACGAAAGATCAATCAAAGTCACCACCTTGATGTTATTAATAATTTGTATGATTTATCACATCAAATTTTAATAATTTTGTACATAGGTATAACACAATAATAAAATATATTAGTAATAATATATATATTTATTCTTATCTAGATCACAAGTATTTTTAATACAATATATTTTGTAGATATATTTGTGTGGAAATCTTGTATATAAAATTAAATAAAGTATATGTCTATCATCGAGGCAGCATTAGGAACTGTTAGATAAACATATACTTGTATTTTTGGTAAACTTCCATATTTTTTGTTTAGTTTACTGATTACTTTGTATTACATGACAGTCAAAGTAATTGACTAGACGATCCGGTACATTATTGGTGTGGTAAAAGAAAAATGATTCCAAGCATCACTACAAATGCTGCAACAAAAATAAAATTGAACAATTAAATAATTGTTTAGTACCTAGAAATACACTGTCTTTTAAAATTTATACATTTTTCTGTATCTATTATAAAAATAATTACATATTCTATTCTATTATTTTCAGGATTAGTATTTTATTCTTAAGCATACTATAGATTATTATTCTTGATTTTCAATTAACAAAAATTTTAATTTCTTTCCCTGATATTATACATTTAAAGCATTGCAATATTAAATAAAAAAGATACAAACGTGACACAGTCCATATGCTTTGTTGTCCAGAATGCTCGCTATTTTTCTTACTGTCCATAGAATTTTCTGAATTTGATTGTTCAGGTACTGTAATAGTTGTTGCTTCCGATTCCTTAGTAGCCTTTGCCGTAGAAGAAGTCGTTTGTTTAGAAACTGTTGTTGTACTAACTGTTCCGGACATAACCGTGGAACTCGCGGAAGTTGATTCTGTGGTTACGTTATTACGATAAACTATTCTACCATCTAATGGTTGTACTGGACGGAAATTATGCGTTAAATTTGTGCCATCAGTGGATTGAATAATGCGGAACGCTGCCAGCTGCAAACAAATTAAGCAAATGTAGACAATTAATTATAATTATTAGTCGAATTGTGAGGAAACTCGTTTTTAAACTGTTTATAAAAGATATTTTAAAATAGTTTGAGGAAATTCAAAAATAAATTCTAACGCTGTCATTCGAGATAATTATCTCCTTCTATATAAGTTTCTATGCTAACTGTTTTTTAAATAGTCTCTTTGCGTTATTCTTGGAGTTTGTCTTTTAAATCAAAATTCCATTAATTTTCTAACGCATATTTCTCGGGCGAAAATAACAGTCTATTTAACCATCGGAAGGAATAACTTTCTCCAGTAAAAGGCCTGTGATAGCAAAGTTTGAATAGGTACAGCGCGAAGAAAGTGTTTGTAGAATGTATTTGAATAATATTCTTTTATATCCATGGTTGAGCGATGTTAGACTTTAGCCAAATACTTTAAAAGCATAATGCACACATATTAAATTGAAGTTAAACTCAATAGCTTTCGAAATACCTGTTCGTGGGAAATGTATTGAGGCTGCACGAAGTCGATCCACTGAACAATCTCGAGGCACGGAGGTGTGGTCAATGATCCTCTGTATGTAAAATAATTTTGTGCTGATGCAAGATCAGGTGCGATCAGCTTACTGAGAACACTGGTGTCGTTTATTGTTATGTTGCTACCAACCCCCGTTATATCTGGTATTTGCCACGTGATCGAGTCAAAGACTGGATTTGACTTGTCTGTAGCCTGCAAAATACATAATTTTTTCAATAAAAATAATTCAATAATTAATTCTCGATAAAATTGATTTAACAAATTAATATAATTCAAGCAAATATTAAACACGTTTCAATGGAATTTGTAGACGTGTAAATACACGTATTATTGGTAAAAATAGAATTCGTATAAAGTATTCCTGGTCTTAAAAAACAAACTCGTGAATTCTTCTCTCATTTACTTAGTTTCTCACTCTCCTTCCAGGCTCGTCAAAGTTTTTCGAAACAATTTAAAGGAAATCCAGAATCCACGCGGAGTTACGTTAAAGATCATGTACGCATACGTAGTACCGCATGTGCAATTTACATAACTGATTTTACGTACGGAGTAATGCAAATTAATACACACAGTAACTCTAATGAAAACAGATGTACATTCATGAGGAACGTAATAACGAAGAAAAAAGATTCTTCTTTGACGACATTTTTGTTGTAGAACGCTTCAAATTATCAGTGACATTCATCGATCTATGTAATGGTAAAAGTAATTGTCAATATTCAATATTTACCTGGTATAAGTATCCAAGCACGGTAAGCCCATCATCATGTTTCAACGCCGCTTCTGAACTTCCATAATCTTTCTTCCAGAATACAGCGTGCAGCTCCATGGAAAACGAGTGATTGTTAATAAGATCCTCGGATCCCAAGTTGTCGTTTTGGCCCCAATGAAAGTGTAACTGCTGAAAGACATATGTGTCGTTGATGGGGCCTCCTGATATCAAGGGTGCGTTAGGATCGAAACTCTGGATCATCACTGAAATAATATACACTGATATCAATTTCTTGTATTTATCAAATTAATTTTATAAGAAATTATTTTCTGGAGGTCATTTTTCTAGTACGCATGATACTTTGATGCTTTATCTTAATTGCGACAAGAAAACGTCAGTGACGTGCAATAATCAACGTTAATTTGCAGCTGTTCAAGGATAAGAGTCACGTTTGAGGAACGTTAAGAACAATCGAAATGATCGGTAGCCATATACGAACTAATGGGACTTTAAAATTCCCTACTTTCCTGGAAATGGTGAAATAATGTTTTAAATATCCCGTGGTGCTGCAATTGATGAAAAACTTGCGTTGAATGTTTAATCACGTGCATTCCGTATTTCTGTGCGTGCTCACTGCTTCTAATTTTGTGATGGTACAACATTTCCATTACAACGTACATTTCTAAGAATTAAAACAATGCGGTTTGAAGTTACGAAATCAGCAAGAATAGTTATGGAATTTGTTTTCTAATTAAATAATACAATATGTTTTAGTATGCAACGGATAAGCACGGATACGTATAAAGAATTATCGATCAAATTATCAGTATGTAGCCTTAGCCTATGGACTGTATAGCAATGTCATAAAGTGCATATCATTTTGAATCACGCAAATCTAATGCATACTCCTTCAGATAACTGGGTTCTTCACTATTGTTAATAAATTATGATAAAAAGTACTCTATCATTATATCTATTTATGTCGTGCATTTATTATGGTATCAATGACATTATTTGAAATGCTTGTTCCAATTATCAAGATCAAGCTTTATCAGTCACCATATTTGCATATCTTTTTTCGTAACATTTTCTTCCATAAAATTGTTAATACGACGACTTTTCTGCAAATCTATCTCCTGATAATTTCGTTGTGAAAAACGAGATATTTTTTTATGGTAGATAATTTCTTGTTGAAATAAAATTTTGTTTGTCTTTGCATTATGTTACATTATGTTTTAACATTATCGTGCATCTACTCGTCAATATCATGACCTTGTTATTTCATACCTGTGTGACCATTGTTTGTCATGTAAGCCGTATGGGAATTATTGACATTAGAAAATTCCAATTGTGTAAAACTGACGGTTGTAACGTCTTTTTCTCTTATGTCGATGGGAGACTGGAATTTTCCTAAGCACGTTTTGTAGTCGTCACCCCAGGATGATGGACCTAGAAAAAAGGACCCAGAAATATTTTTAGAACGCTTCAACAGATTTAGTAAAAGATACGTGAAGACGAATTTTTCTAGAAATTTTATCGACTCTCTTGTATCGTAGAAAGTTGAGATAATCTGTATAAATTAATTTTAAATCGATTATAAATAGTCAACTGTATTGGAAAACGTTATATAAGATTTCGTAAAAAAGAGAAAAAGTACTCACTAACATTATAAATACGTTTACTTCGATTATATATACCAATAACATAATGATGGAATTAAAATATTTTCAACAGCTGATGAGTACAGGAAGCATGGGTTTATGATAATATGTGAAAAAGAAAACGAATTAAACACGTTGGAATGGTAAATAAGTTCTTATAATTCCAACATAAACCAATCTTAAGTAACTATGTACTGTTTTCCTTCTATGCGAATATTCGTAATTAACTTACCATGATTGCCATCGTAGCTGAAATTGCCGGCGACCACTTCTGAAATGCAAAGAAATGCTAAATTGTGAAACCGATCAATTTACGTATTATTACACGTTATATAAATATAAACGTTTGATCATATTCTATTTCTAATTAGCCGCCAGTAATTGATCAACAACCATGAACGACTCATTATCTTGGGGCAAGCTAGATTGTCAAATGTACGTGCATAGCACGAACGCAGACAAAGAAGTTCTCAAGAACCGCTAACGCTATGCGTATTTGTTGGTCAGTACTGTTCAACGAATTAAAAATAGAAAGGACGAAATCGCGAATAATATTGCACGAATGAAGCAACCTATGTTTTGGTTGACGATATAAACAAAAGAATCTGGGTTAGGCAAATTTGTCGTGTTTTTCCACTTCCATGGGAACTTCTCGACACTGCAGTGAAAGTCGATTTACGAAAGATTTTCGTGCTGGCTTCATTCTTGCACTCGATTCGTAACAGATGAATTATACTAGCCCCCTCTATTAGACAACAGTTCCGGCGGAGTCGAGCGTTCGACACAACGGGTATCGATTTCGTTCTTATGAATTCGATTGCAGTTATTATACCGTTACGTACCGTGACATCAAATCGGGTGATACGCGTTTGACTGACATGCTGCTGAATAATAAAATGTAAACTTTCTTAGTGCATGCAGGGGAACAATACATCTTTACCTATGAAAACCTGTCGTATATTGCATACGACTATATCATGCTTATATTCTTGTTTTTCTAAGACAGTGTAACGTATACATTTTATATTATCGTTACTAATAAAAAAGAATGAATTGATCACTCGGAAAAGTGATTTTAATGAAATTGAAACAGGTTTAATAGTCTACGATATTGAGTGTACGTGTTTATATTGTTATTATGATTTAAGAAACGAGGTGAATCAGAATCGAAGAAAGAACTGAACAAAAAATCTAGTTCGTTCAATGAGTATTACAGCGGAGTAAAATTATTCGTTACCTAATAAAATAGAAAAAGTAAATATGAGAAGAGAAAAAACGTCAGTCTTTTTGCACTGTAGAATTAATGCTTCTAAAATTATTAATTATGATTAATAGAAATGATATTATTTCTATTACCATAGAATACCACTTTGCACCATAAATTATGCTTAACAAATTGTCATTATTACAGATACTGAGATCAAGAGTTATCAATCGTTTAAGTAGCAATAAAAAATACAAAAAAAAAAAAAAAAACAGGACAACATATATATGTACATATCTATTAAAATAACACGGTACATAGCAATTTACTCCTGAAATTATTAATTTGTTTGCAGTACATTGTATATATTTTTCTAACCTTCATTGTTATTATATAAAATTACTTAGGAGTATCAAAGAGAAAAGAAGGAAAAGCTATGCCCATGGATTTTGTCAATAACCTAATTGTAAAAAAGTGTTGGATTCAATATAACAGTGACTACTTGAGCCTTGGTCATACGGAATATGTACAATTCGGATGATAAATTTGAAGTGCCTGATAGAAAGCAAAATAGGCTACTTCCTTACACACGGTAGAGACGATTCTCGATTACCGGTTAATGAGTCAGCCCTTGCACGGTCAACGAAAGATAAATCGCGCATATACATTCATCCTTTTAGATTCTACGCATATGCTCGACACGTGTGTCGAATAACGATGCAAGCCGTGGATTTGCTTAGGATCAAGATTGTTTCCAGGCGGAGAGCAAAGCCACGTAGGAGGTCCTTTCGTTCACATTTTCGAGGACTGTAAACTAATTTAGTCGCGCATCGCCATGGAACGTCCTACGTAGCGACATCTGTCTTTTCGACGTGCGAAATATTTATTGCCATAGACGCATGCTGGCCGCTCGTAAACTCTGATCGGCGCAGGGATGATTTTAAGATGTAAACCGTAGCACGTGTATTACAGGTGAAGCAATTTCATTGCGAGAACCTCTGTTTTTTTCCAGGTAGAGAAATGTTAAAAGGACGACCTTGATAGAATCGTTGCGCACGATATTGCTACACTGAGCGATCAAATATTGCGTTAGTATGATTCGAATAAAAATGAATAAGAGTAAGAAAAAGGTGGTTTACGTAAATATACGAATACTTGATGATATAGTTACCTTCAGTCGGGCTTTAATTTATTTTCGACGATGAAAGGTTGAGGTCATCGAGAGATCGATGCTAGTACTAAAGAAATATCTGGGCCCCTTTGCACGGTAATTTCTTTTATCATTGTATTCACAAGTTGGTTGTAAGTTGTAGACTATAAGCTTTGCATAGGCTTTATAATCTTACTTTTTCGAATTAATATTGTTAGTATATCTTACAAATTTTTATTTTACAATGATTATGGTCTTGTATTATAAAAATTTACTTATATAATTTTCAGAAAATTTTGAGATTAAGATTATTGAGATTACTGAGATTAAGAACAGTGATTAAATCTGATTGATCATGTACTTCTTTTTATTTCAGTTATTAAAGATAGTGATATTTATTAGTACTGTTAACTATAATCTTTGATCTATAAAATTTCACAAATATTAATGGCTCAGTTGTGCAAGAGGGCCCTGATCTATACTATTTGATTTCAGCAAAAACAACATTGGTTCTTTTTATCAAGTAGTAAATATAGGACGAAACAGATTAGATAAATATAGGCGATTGACTTTCACACTGTAATATACTCATTCCCACAGTTCAACTTGTAATTTTTCTACTAGAATATTTCCAATATTTACTTCTGAAATATTTATACCTTTTTTCCAATTCAGAAAAATTCCTATTATTTTTATTTTTTATTTTACAGTTAATGAAAGTATGCAACTCTTTTTGACAAAGATAATGTTGCCTTACCTAATGCCTTATCGGGATAAAGACGTAATTACCTATTTATTCCTGCAAGTATTTCTCTAAGATATTTACTTATTTTTATCTTTATTATCAATATATACTATATTTAACGCTAAAACTGCCAGCATGTAGTTAAATAAGTTATACACAAATGATGATAATTGTAATAATGCGATGGAGACAAATAACTACATATTATTATATTTACATTTAAATAAAAGCCAGCATCGATTTTATCAAAAGCAGCCATATGTTTGCAAAAATTGTATAAATAAAATATCTGAAATAAGCTATTTTTACCTCTTTGGTAGTTCTATTGTTAAATATTAATTACATGTCAATAGTTCTAATGTTAATATTCATGATTATTTTAATAATTTACATTTATTATATAATCAAGTTACTTATTCCTATCCAGAACAGGGATGAAAGATTGCAAAGCACACCGTACCTCGACCTCAGTCATTTTCAACGTTCGTTACAATCTAGAATTTCGCTCAACGTTTACAATGGAAGGTATCGTATTACGCTTTGCCATTCTGCACGTACTAATGCCAATAGCGTGTAAAGGCGTTTTTTAAATAAACGTCGAGTATTGCATACTGAAAATCACGTCTACGTATTGTCAGATAAAAGTTTATTATACAAGTATGAAAACGACATGTCTGTAATATTCATAAATATTGTATGGTTATAGTTGAGCGGATCGGTGTTGTGGAACCCTGGCAGTATTGAATGTACATACACTATCGAACGTGTCTCCTGCATCTGTTTAGAGTGAAAATCTTGCTCGATTCGAATGACTCGAATCATGCTTTTTATACACAAGATCTCACAGGATTTTTCAACTGAACTTTTTCAACGTGTTTTATAAACAGAGATAAGGAAAAAGAATGTTACATAAATAGGACGTTTAAATTAATTCAACGAACTCATTCGAAAGTTATAACAATGATATAAGATAGCAAAGAAACGTACAATGGAGTTGCTCTTACTTAATACCTACGAGGCAGAAAATTTGTGCAGTAATAAATTTAACTTTCCACTGATGTTTATCTTGACTGTTACTGTTACTCTGCGTGGCAAGAATGAGCGATTTTTCGAAACGGTATGTTAATATTAAATAGTTACATATCGACTCATTTTATAAGTCAAAAAATTCGTTATGAAGTTATGCTGAAGGTGATATAAAAGAGAAAAAAATTTCAATTTCACTTTAACAATTTCTCCATTTATCTTGACACTTAATATTGCTTTTTTTATTTTTAGAAATGATTCATACCGTAGAGTGGAATGTTTATACTAGATAATAACGTCGATCATTGATTTATCAAAGATTTATCATATTGAAATGAAATCTATTGCCATTTTCTTCACCTCGTTTACTTTTGCTATAACTTATTGATAGTAACAGTCTGAACATTTATCAGTCTCGAGCTTATTAAGAATTATAATCTCTTTCTTCTTATTTTTTATTTTACTTGTACTTAGATATTTTTTTCATTAGATCTCCAGTTATTCTTAAAAACATTCTATTCAATTTTCTTTTCTATATGACTACTTTGATCCCATTAAAAATGTTTCTATCAAAGAAATAGTATATTTAATTCGATCAAAAAGTATTTCATTGAGAAATGCGTGCAACGAACGTACTTTTAGTACACATTTAGTACACATCTGATGCAATGACAGTGATCATGTCTGTTTAACCACTCCCTCTGTAAATATACCTCGAGTTTTCCGGCAATTTTTCTCTTCCTTTTTATCTGAGAATTGCGTAACGCGTAGCATGTAGTAAATTGTAAAAAAATGTGCCGTTGATATTGATCGCGTTTATGGATATTACATGTCTTCCTGGGCTATGTAATTTTTGCGATAATCGGAGTGGAGATCAAATACAACGATTCCGGGTTCTTCCATCACATGCACGACCTTCCAACGAAAAAATTATACGTAACGTTTCGTCGAATATATTTCCTTTTTAACCAGTTAACGATCGCTAATTACATTATCTCTATTCCCTTCCTATTTTCTATTTTTGTTCCCTTCTCTTTCCTGCACTAGCGGCTACTGTGTTTTAAACTGTGCGATGAGCGTTATCCAATGTGCCTACTCACAGCGTTTTTATCGTTATTAGCAGTGTGGAAAAATGGTGTGAAGATAAACCTGCATTTTCACTTTCTATAATATTGCATTTCAAATTATTATTTATTATAAATAAATATAATTATATTATTAATAAATATTATTTATTATTAATATTATTAATTTCGATAATTACGTTATCTTCGTTTGATGTTAGTTATATTTAATATTTGACTAATTATTAAATTATTATATTAATTAATTTTTCTTCAATTTTATTTCATCTATTTTTTATTGAATTTTTGTTTGTTTGTAATGCATGGGTATATTAATTTTAACCAGTTTGTTTATAATAATTATTTGTTTCTAGACTGCAAGTTCAGAGGAGGCTGGATTTAGCTGCGACTATTCGTGGAGAGTTACATAGTACACGTGACTATGAATTATTATCCGAAATTTCACGACACCGAGGTCTTAAAAAAGAAAGGAATACCTTGAGGAAATTTTTAAATTAGCTGCAAGTGCTTTCTCTGAGCGACATTTTTTAAACTTTATGTCGACAAGAAACATGTTTCCAATATGGAAATCGGATGGAAGAGTTCCCGATTTAAAGTAGGATTTAAATCGATCTTTAGCGTGGTTTTATAGAAAGTAGGTATTTCCTTGGCATCTTTTATTTTTGGGGTAAATAAATCACTTTGAATGAAAGGTATGCTTCCCAATAGTTTAATTATAATACAACGGTAGAATATCCTACATATATAAATATGCGTTTCCTAAAAATAAAAGAAATATTTGACTAGTATCCAAACAAAAAGATATTAATATCATCTAATATATCAATATTAATATTTTAAGTATGTCTATATATCTACCATGTTATCAATATTATAAATATAATATTCTAAATGTTCCAAGTATATTTAAAAATGAAAATATTACTGATGTACCACTATGCACGAATACTGTGTTAGTATTCTAGTAATAGAGGCCGTTTTTATCAAAAAATCGAGCAAATGCTTCTTCGCGACTCACGGTTTACGTTGTTCCCCTTTTTAAAAATATACGCCGGAATTCTGACGTAGGTGAAATAAAAAGTGAAAGGTTAAATCCGTATCGTGATATCTATCGGTTAATGGAAATACAGGAAACGTACGAAAAACGGGAGATATAGAGCGATGAAATTTCACGATACAAGGTTGATTCCGCAATTCCTTACGTCACTCGATTGTTGCTCCGTCTACAATTCGAATCGTTTAGTCGAAATTATCGCGGGCTATTGCGTTTCATACATCATAGTGTCAAACGCATTGTCTATTTCGTCCTCGCTTTTGCAAAGTATGTATCGCGTTAATCTATCGGCTCTTCATACATAAAAGACGTCGCGCAGGCGACATTGAAACGTTTTTCTTCTTCATTCTCATTTTACCTTTTCTTCTCTTCCCGATAACGATATGAATAATTTCATTATACACCATCGTAAATATTTAATTAAGGTCTTTAATTAATCGAAGTTAATTTTCTAGCTACTTTCGAGTAATTTCTTCATTTTTTAAATATCGTTTATTTATGGTAATACATAACAATAATAAACATAGAAGAATTTTTTATTTCATATGATAGTTATTTCATAGAAAATTATTAAATGAGAAATTATTTCTTCACTCCTTTTTCCACACTCCATGTTCGTCAAATTTTCTATTATTTTGTGTTTCACAACTATGAATGGTTTATATTCATTTTCCGATTACTGTTCATAGGTCACATCGATATCGAGAAAATTTTATTCACTGGCAACTTAATTATCGTATGCCACAATTTTCCACTAGTTCTACGAGATTTTTAGAACCTTCAAAGCTTCCAATGGCTGACTACCTATTCAAGCACTCTGATGTCTTCTTCTTTAGTATACTAAAGGAAGAAATAACAACGTGTGGATGAAAATTACACTTATCTTTGCTCACGACGTCAGGAAGAATTATACCATACTTTGCCGAAGAACTTTCGCAATTACACGTATGTTAGCGAGATGAGGAAGGTTGAAAACCGCTGACACAGAGCATGGAGTAGCAATTTCATTGAAGAAGAACGAAATACTGACGCTGAATTCAACAAAAACTGTAATAGACTAGTTTCGATTTCTTAAATGGTAAATTGCACTAATTAACCTTAAGCTCGTTCAAGGAACGTCAAATTATCTCATCTTATTCTAATTACCACACTGCCTACGATCTACTCCTCCAAATAACGGTGAAAATAACCAGAACCACGTCTGTGAATTCCACATGGGACGTCTTGCGTCGAATAACGAAGTCGAGTACCGCGATAATATTTGTTAAACGTATTATTAAATCGTATTCGGATACCACTTGAAGTTTTTCGATGCATTAGAGATCGTTATGTAAGAACTCAGCGAGTTATCAAAAATTGATCAAATGTTGCTCGAATTTTCGCAATTTCTCCGTGACCTTTTAATTTCCTGTTTAACCCTTTGTACTCGATGACTCTCAGTTACTTCAAAGCTTAAGTAACGAGTATGAGGTAATAATTACATTAGAAAAACCTACACGTGAAATATCGAAACGAAATACACTTGATTTTCCTGTTTCATTTTAGCATAAATGGTATCACCGAGCTTAGAAAAATGTTATACAAGAAAGGCTTCGAATTGCTGTATATTTATAGTAGAAAAATCTTCGAGTCCAAAGGCTTAAATTACGGTTTTAACATCAAACCTACCACGGTCGAGTGACCGGTCAAGTAAGAAGCAGTAGAATCTTTAAAGAAACGGAATAAGGAGAGACATTGAAAGATCGATTACAAGTATATTGGAAGAAAAATTGCGAAGTGGAGTGATCAAAGACTTGAATTTTGAGCGAAAGTTTTAAGAACAGTCATTTAATATAGAATACTGCTCCTTTTAAAGAGTTTCTCAATTTTTCCTTTATTATCTGTATTTGGAATTAAAAGTTTTGTAGTTGGAAGAATTGTCACATTTGTAATCCAATTTTTCAAGTAGGATTGCTCTATGATCTTTTCTTTAATTTGGGGAGTTTAGAATTTTAGAACGAACGCTAGATTTACTGAGCAATAATGTACACCTTAAATATATCGTGCACATGAATGTAGATTTAGGGTTAAGGTCACGTTCTAGGTTTAGGGTCAAAACAGTGGTGCCCTCTCGAGTGCAAGGGGTTGAAACGACCAAAAAAGATGGCGACGGGATGGATGGATCTACGTTTCTACGTTTCTCTGTAACTAGAATCCCGCGATTGATATAACGTCGATCATTGACAAGAACGAAAATAAAGGAAACGCGTAAAACTTGCAGGCCGAATCGAGTTTAGTCTATGGCGTGTCAATGAAAATAAACGCAGAAAAGGCAACCTCGTGAGTTATTCCAATTCGAGGATATTGTTTACGCTTAGAAATCCAAGAATTAAGAATCGTATATCACGTTCTACTGTCTTTCCCTTCTCGTGGGTTGTATATAACGATTTTACTCCTGATTTTGTGCTAATATTCTTTCTTCTCGCCTCCCGCCATCTTTTCGCACTCAGAAGCGAATCCTCAGAGAGTGTTCTAATTATTGTTTGCATATACGCTGTCATAGCGATGCAACTGGTGACCGAGTTTTATGCACATGCATAGACGATGCTAGCGCGAATCTCCCTATGAATCTTGAACGGTTTCGCGATATTAGTACTAAGTGTAATTAATTTAGGGGCAACTACTTTAATTGTAAGTCGGAAATGTATATAACGAATTAAAGTAATCACGTGTAAGATTTCTTTTTTCTTTTAATCTTTGACGATGAGAAGGATTGGAGTGACTTAATGTCGATAATATGGTACTTTCAGTAGCAATGATTTAGAGTGTTAATATTTATCTATGTTTGTGTATAATGTTATTTAGTGTCTCGCTTAATTTTTCGTTGAATGGAGAAATTTAGGTACGAGTAAATTTTTAATATTGTTCTGGGCATCTGGAAATGGAAATTTGTAGACAATCACTGATGATTCCTTATCATATCTTAATGGGTTCTAAGGTTCCTCTTTAATTATTGGCGTCGTTATCAAATAAAACGTAGCACGATATCTTTGTGTGATTCGTGTTATATCTGCCTCTTGGTGTTCAATTAATTAATGGGATTATAGTTGCAGCGGTGTGTAATTATTGGTATTGATAGTGTTAGCAACAATATAATCTTAAAGTTAACGTAATATTCCAAATTAAAGTTCTTCATCATTTCTGTTAAATCACAGAAACTTTTATTAATTAAATTCACAAGAGTTTCGAATTAAAAAATATTGCCATATAGAAATTTTTGCTAAATTTCGAACTAAAATTTTGATTTATTTCTTCTTTATCTTTATTTTCCAGATTTTCACTTCGTCTATGTAAGAAATGGTCATCATTCGTGTCATGAAAATTAAAATTAAAATTCCACGTATGATCTATTCACGAGTTAAAGGCTTAAAGAATAAAATAAAAGGAAAAAAAGACTCACTCGTTGCCGATAGAAATCCCACGAAAAAGATTAAGAATAGCATGACGAAAAGCAACTGTTACTATTCAGCAAATGAGAATTCCGAAATTCCAAGTTCCGCTGCTTTATCGCTATTTTAAATTAGAAATATGTAAAATATGTTATGGTCGGTGGTTGATTAAGCAACTATCTTCAATCTGGGCTCAAGCTTCCGCTCTCTTGGGCCCCCTGAAGCTGGCGTGTATGGTGTTATCAACCTGAAATATAGAAAATAATACAATTAACGTGAATTATGGAAAAAATTTGTAAAAATGTCCAACTATCATAAGGTTACAGAGTAGTAAGGAATCGATGTTAGTGGCAGCATTGAGATATTGAATGAGATCCAAGAAAGTGAAGTTGCAGAAACGCTGGAAGATGAAGATAAAATACGTTTTTGAAATATAGCAGAAGAAATACTTCTTATTCGATAGGAGAATCGAATAAAATCGTAAATTTTAATATTTTATATGATTTTTAATAGAATAGTTGTTAATGCACATGATGCATGAGAACAGAAGTTCAATATCTATTTCTTCATAAGACTCATGGTGTTTTGGATGCATTTGCTGATGATAGTTTTTAATATGAAGTTTTGAATAATCTTTACGATGTTCAGGTCAGTTTTGGAGGCATTAGATGAAGTCTGTTGAGTAGCACTGGACTAATACCGGTTTTCTAGGTGAATAAACGCAGGTTACGGCAAAGAACAATGATCGAGTAGGCGAAGTGCAAAAACGGTAACTCTGAGTTTTTGAACTACATATATCCCTGATAGCGGGGGTACAGATAAGTTTGCGAACAAATATGTTTCCTGGGATTAACAAATTGTAAAATAGAATCAAGTGCTATTGTAACTTTACAGTTGTTTTATCAGCATACAAGGTTAGACAATTATTATTTACTATGAAAGTATCATCAATGAAGTGATTGAACATTATCAGCTCAAAGATGAATCCTTGCTGGTTATCTGCATGAACCAGAAACTTGAAAAGGATTACTCAATTGACAAAGATAACAAGAAATTTGTTTGGAAGATATATGATCAGTTAATACAAGGAAGATCTCTGTGTCAGACTGAGCCAGATATAACAGAAAGATCAAAGAGCATACTATTCATATTTTAATGTTCAATTCGTAATTAATGAATTAACACCTATAAATAAATTTATAAATAATGAAATAACCAACTAAATTGTTGGCAAATGGTGGTATTATGCTTATAGAGATCTATGAAATGGAAGTAGATCTAGAATTTAAAGATTTTGCGTATTATTGAGACATAAAGATAAAACTATCACCAGTTTTGGCTTTTACCAAAACAGAAGTTCTGAAATCTTGTAGTCTTATTTAGTAGCTTGATAATGTACTCGTGTCTTCAGAAGAGAAGAAAGGATCCCTTCACTAGTAGAAACAATCACTTCCTTCACACCAGTCGAGTGAAGGAAAGAAATTTCTCTAAGTGCTGCGTTTGTGTTTCAGTTCCATCCTTAATATCATGAATGTAGTCTATATATTCTATTGTATAATCAGGGATAAGAAATCTCTGTTTAAGCTAAGTTTAAGTGACAAAAACGTCATGTACATCATATTCTTCCAACCATGATGAATTCGTCTACCAATAACCGAACCGACGTCTCATGATATTTAAAGAGAAATAAAGATCAGACAATTTTGAAAGAGACCATAAATTGGTCAGCCTCGGAAGAACGATTTCTAAGTTTCGCCAGGGGAGTAGAAACTATCCTATGTATGTCAATATCATAAATTTCGTTGATATCTTCACAAGTTTCGTCAAAGGGTGGGGAAGATATCAAAAGAAGAACTCGATAGACTAGTGCTCTGAAATGACCGTTGACCAAGGTCTCTTTATAAAAAAAATTTCTGACTAGACATAACTGTGGGAAAAATTCTTGAGGGGATAGCAGCAGGTGTGGACCTACTATGGACAAAGAAGATTGCAGGGGGAGTGAGGTCACTTTTGCCTCTAGTCAAAAGGTATTTGAGAAGAGACGAGTATTTGGAATAATTTGCTAGGTATGTGCCTGACCAGTTCACACAAGTGGAGAAAGCTTAAGATAAAATCTTTGGTGTGGTGGTCTTCAGCATGTTTGATACAGAGTGAAGGTAAGCTATAGTTGAATAACGTGTGTTTAACTAAGTTTAGGGCGAATTACCGATACTAATCTATGTGTTATCATGCAACAGGAGTCTGGTCCTTTATTGGATCAAGGAGTGAAAAGATCAGAAGCCCCAGGTATAAAAAAGGATTGGAGGATGCTAAAACGGTTGCTGGTGGGGACTACCGTGTTAACTTCCACTCAGAGACCTGACCCAGAGACCTTTTTGAAGGATAAGGTAGCTTAGTTCACGTCAAAATTATTCAGTTGTTTATCATGTTCGTTTCAGAATGAACAGGATATGTTTATTACAGAAAAGAGTTTTCTTGTAGGCCTAAGGGATGTTGAGCATTGAACCAAAATGAAGAGCGTTAAGAACGATGTTAGAGGAACTGAAAGGTGAATTGAGGGGCAATATTTCCTCCGTTGCCATGTCAGGGATGCCAGCGATAGTTAAATGCTTATGTTCCGTTAACCTGGGTGAGGCTTTCACATCAGGGAAAGAATCATGAGGTATAGGCGCTCGTCTACAAGTGAGCGCCTGATTTTGAGGGCAGGACGAGTTGCCTGAGTGAGGGGAGCAAGGGAGTAGGATGCAGGGGAAAAAGGAAAAATACATACAGGCACACACACATACACAGTACTGCACGCGCGGGAGCAGAGCAGAGAAGTATGTCTCCGAGTAGGCTCTACGATCACGGTCACGATGTGAACACTACCGCGGTCACACTCGAACTGAAATGAAGTCGAATTGGCAAACGAGCCGGTAGTCGACTGAGCAACTGCCGACTTGTCGACTATGTTAACCCTTTCGCTGCGGAGCGCTCAGATATGAATTGCTCTCTGGATAGCCGGCGTGACAGTGGGAGATCGACACGATCAATACGATGTGCGTTAGGAACTGATAACAAATGCACGCCGCCTAAAGGCGCTGTTTGTTTGTTCAGAGGCAGTGACTCTGGATGAGCTCCTAAAGGCGTTATTCCTTCGGAGGGAACAAATCTGCTCGAGCGCCTGTAGGGGCTGTTCGTAGCGAAAGGGTTAAATAAGAGATCATCACTTTTATTTTGGCGGTAACCTATCGACTCTGCAGTTTGATATCGGATAGAGCCGAAGACGTGCAAACGATGGCCAAGTGACCGCAGTATCGGAATGTCAGGAAGAGGATAAAAGATCTATAGTGATTTCCGATGACTCACTGCTCCTAACCTGATATCTCGGAACTGGCAGTTCCAAAAAAAATTGATACGGATACACTTCCTGGAAGCCTGTTGCAGTTGTTGAATTTTGCTTCAATGATTTCATTGTTTATTTCACGTATTTTTTATTTCGTAAACTAACGCACTGTGATGTCAAGGAAATTTGAAGTACACGAATCCTGATAAGATTCAGGAATTTTATTTATAAATTCTACGTGTAATATATTCAGTATATACTTGAAATCTAAATATATTTTAGAATTTATATACTGATTAATTAAATCCAAACATGTCAATCTGATCATCAAACTCTTGCATCGTGACCACGAAAGAAAAAAATTAAAAAGCGGAGATACGCGTAAATATCTTCACGCTCATTATATATAATTGATGAACATTTGCGACAAATTTTATTCTATTCATATGCAGTATGGTTTAGAAATCAATTTTTCCTAGTTTATATTTAACACTGTAAATAACCTTTGTGCAATATTTGCAATAGCTTACACCATTTATCACCTCTCAAAGTTTTTACGTATGAATAACTTTAAATAATACTGTCGCGGTGTTAATAATGTATTTGAATTTTTCCTTATTTAGTCTTATTTTAGCTTTTCGTTGTCATGAAAAAGAATTTCGCACGATGATATTGTAGAGACACATCGTACTTAATCATTATTGCTCCATCGAATTTCTCTGCTGAATCAAAGAAGAACTTTCCAAAGAAATATGTATATCATACCTAGAAAAGAAAATTAGCACATAATAAAATTTCCTCGTGTCACAACTGAAAGGGATAGTCCTGCTGACGTATATGCTACGTGAGGTATGGCTTGCGGTACTTTAACGTCCGTAAGAACTCATTACTGAGTTTTGAATGTGTCAGCTTCCGTTTGGTGAGATCGCTTCCGCTTACCATTTTCTCTGACCACCCATTGTGAATCTTTAAAATTTCTTCAGATCTTCGCTGAAACATCACCCATTATTTCTCATTAGTTTTTTAAGCAACACATACTAGATATCGTTAGAAAATTATTGACTTGCAATAAATTTTAATTTCCAACGTTACGATCATCATTAAAGAAAATGCTCACTTACCCATTATCGTTATTAATTCATTATTAGCAGCAAGGAACCGCGAGGTACGGTTAGTAGGACGTTGAAGTGCAATTATTGAGAAAGTATTAGAGCATATTTTCCTTAGTTTTGAATGTTACTTGTGAGCAGTATGAAATATCGATGATATCTACAGCTACAGTTAGTGTTCGAAATATTTTATGAAGGTCGCCTTGTTTGATACGTTTCAGAATAAAAGTTTCAATCAAACTGCCACTAGATTCTTAGGCTCGATTTCACAAGGATTATGTAACGCTATACAGAGATTACTACGTCGTGTGGAAGCAATATTTCGGGTACTTCTTGAAAAAGAAGACAAGGGCAAAGGCGAATTCCTTTGTAAGAGGTCACTGAGATAATCATCTTGGAATGACAGAAACGGGTCTGACGCGATTTATATTTTCGGATATTTTGATAATTTCCAAATTTTATTACGCGACCTACTGTCTGAAACAATGTTTGGGCAAAAGGCCATTTCGCAAAACGGCAACAAGCACTCGTTGATTTGCAAGTTTAAAGAGACGTGAGAGACGTAGAAATATTTCCTCTTCTTCTTTCGCAGAAATTTATGGTTGTTTAAATGTTGTCTGGTTTTCGTTTGTTTCTCCTGAAAAATTGAATTAAAATTAAATAAAGAAATTAAAGGGATAGATTGGAAGAGATGAGAAATTAAAAAGTGCGAATGATAATTTTTCATGATTCACAAGTATAAATAAATGAAAGTATGACGTTATCAATTTTTATTAATTGTATCATAATATATAACGTATTAAAAATAGCATGATTTAATCATGTTTTCTAGCATGGCAATAATTAGGTGACCTTGACTTTTGAATGAAAAAAAAATAGGTTTTGAATTTTTTATATTTCAATATATAGCTGATTAAATACTGATTAACTTACGTTAGAAACATTTCTTTGTCAGACTGTCAAAGGTGTCTGAAAAATGGCAACAGTTACGTGTCACTTTGTATATCGAAAATATTTTTATCTTCTTAACGTACTATATATTTAGATAAGTTCAAAAGATCTAAAAATATTTCTCAACTGTCGACAAGTTGCTCTTGTAATATGTAATATTATAAGAACTGAAATTTTTAAAATTCGTAATTAAATTTGCTTTTTGAATTTTAGAGATATATTTTGAGTAAAATAATTGATTTATTTAAAAAATATCTTTAAGATATTATTTTTTTATATACTTCTAAAATTATTTACTCAATTATATAATAAGTTTCTTGTAGCGTTTATTAATAACAATCTGTAGTAAATAATGATCAATAGAACAAACTGACCTTTAAAATCTAGGTTATGGGATTGAATTAGAAACATTATTCTTTAATGTCATTGATTATTTAGCTCAATAATAAATTTTGTGAAATACTTAATGTATTTATTGTATTTGCACTAAATTTTATAAAAGTATAAACTATTCTAATTCATAAATTTATTCTAATTGTTCATTTTTTAAGGAAGAGTATTATTACTTGTATAATTTTGATTAATTTCTATATGAAGTTTTATTTGGAATCAAAAATTGAGGTTATTCAGCTAGAAGTTTATTATTTTATGTAGTTTTAGTTAATTATTTTAAGTGTAGTTACATAGAATAATAATGAGGCTAAAAGACTTTACACTGAAAGTAATTATCAATAACAAGGTTGAAAATATCTTTTTATCTTCTATTTTCCTTTGTTTTGTTGTTATTGATAGTCTTGTATTTATATAATTTAGTGTACTGATGATAACATTGTATAGTTAAGAATACTGATTAATTATATATAATCTGTAAAAAAAGCGAGGATAAACAGTAATTTATTGTATTTGAGCTTAAATTAGTAATAATTCTTTAATAATTTAGCGCAGTCTATAGATGTCGCTAGCACAGGTTCGAACCAAAATTTTTACGAGTTTCTCTCCTGTGCACGACGCTACTGTGGTAACGGACATACATCTTTACCGCTCAGAGATGATTTCTACCTATACAGATTGTGGAATAGCCATTAAAATGTTGTCGGAATAGCGCGCGTTGCGAACTAGCCTACGAGTCGACCAATCGAGAACCGTTTGTGAGTCGGTGGGTACGTTTTCACGGAATGTGAGCAACCGTTGAACGAAGTGACGATACTACAGATACACATGTACATTTCGTCGCCGTCGTCGTCGCGATAGTCGTCATCGTCGACGTCGGCGTTGATTGTGCGCCGATCTTGATTATAGCGAAACGAAAGGAAGTTGATTTGCCGATAGGGGCAAACCATATATACAAAAAAAGTAAAGAATAAATTTTTCTTGTAACTGAACCCTGTTTGCGAACGAAACAGCTTCGTAAGATAGTGACATCGTTATACTTTATTTTGATATTTATAGACTCGAAGCCGATGCACTCTACGGCGATTTTCTGAAGGCGAAAGAAACAGGTCTCGAGATAGATAACGAAAAAGAAGCGTTTCTTCGTCGCTGTACGCGCGGGCTTTTTTCCGGGTACGATTTACGTATATTATACATAAGAGGGAGAGAGAGAGGCATAGAAAAGTAGCCACGAACGAGAGTGATAGGGCTACTTGAGACGAAAGGAGAAAGCTTCGATAGTGAAACGGAGTGAGAACGAGAGCGTTAAGCTGGGGTCGTGAGGAGAAGGAAGGGATCTCCGTCAAAATGTCGCTGAAAACACCAACGCGGATACAGTGATTGCTTTTCGTCATTTAACAGGGGGTATGTGATCTCTCTCGGCTTCCTTGAACTCTTTTTTTTTAACGTTCTTACGATGACCTTTCTCATTTTTTTATCCCCAGAAATGTACACAGTTTCTTCGACTCTTTCATTGAAAGACAGAAAAGTCATAGGTGCATCGATTGCGCACGGTCACCCGGTTTCCCTCTGTTTGTTTCCATCGGGCTTTGCATAACTTTGTCGTGACTGTGTGCATAACACGCAACGGCCATCTCATTACAGTGGTGGGCAAAGATATCTCGTGTTTATGTCCATCTACTTGTATTCCTTGTATTTTTAATTTCTTAGTTACTGTACATAATTGTCCAAGACATTCGGCGATCGCACTACAGTGCTGATGCACTAGGTACTCGTCGTTGCTAAACTGGTGGCTAGTCACATTCCGTTCAGGCAGTTTTTGAATTTGTCAGTTTGATTTTTCTCAGTGGAGCTTCCAGTTCAATGTCGGAAATTTTAGCTTCCGTTTTGCGTCAACTTTTTTCTTCATTTTTTGCCTTTACCACTGCTAACGTTCGTTGTTTTTCGCCCTTTGAGAACCGATGAAAATAACCGAGACATACGCAGACGTTGAAGATTCTCGTAGGTTACATTACGAATTTGTTTTTTGTCCCTATTTCATCGATATTTCATCATAACGATATCTCGCGAGTTTCTTTCAACACAGTTTTTCTTGGCAATTCGTTTTTCAGAACGAGTTCTTGAATAGTATAAAATTGCATTAGCGGGAAATTTCGTC